CGTGAATCTTATTTGCATGTGGGTTTCGGGTTCTCTCTCGCTTGTACGAATGCACAGAGAACAGACGAGAAGGAAGGAAATCAGCCCATAAATCTAATTTTTCCATTTAAAAAAATAATAAATCAAGCTAGCAAGTTGCACACGAGCCGCGAGTTGGGTCAGCCTGGCCCGTATCATTATCTTCTTTATTACATTTTCTAAGAATAATTCTATCGAGTGAACCTACCGAATTGAATAATTTCATAGTTTTTCATTCATGATTTAGGCACGGTTTTCCTCTTTAAATATTTATTTGTTGGCCATGATTTGATTTTGATTCTCTTTAAGGATGCGTAGATACTATTTGAGTAGTGTCGATCCTATGATTTTGGGACTTGAGGCGAATTTCATAAATTAGGCCCTCAAAATTATAGTATGCATGCAAAATTTATAAGTGTACTATGAAACCAATTATTAACTTGTTAACTTAAAACTTTCCACCGTCACGTCTCACAATCCTGAACAAAATTTATAAGTGTATTATGAAACCAATTATTAATTTGTATAAATTGTTCCAAAAAATTTCGCGTGGATGAAATTTCACCCAATTTTCCATACATGCCTATGACCGCGCTACCAACAAACAAATCAAGATCAACACAAGTTTTAAGCATTGTACTGTGAGTTTGTAGACCCAAAGTCAAATCACCAAGGCAAGCACAAAGTCAAAAAATATTAACATAAGTAATACTATCCCACTCCAAACACTCATATTCTACCGCCAAACCTCAAATGTATCCACCATATATCCATGATCTAATAGCACACTTAAAAACATAATTATACGTACATAAATCTAATTTTGGTACCCAATACAAAAACTGCATAGCCCCTTTCACATCCGAGCACATTGAATACATGGATAAAAGCGCTTTCGTAACATACTGATGGAAAATCAATCCAGGATTCAATGTATAACCATGACACTATCGTCCCTCACTAGCAACCAACAATTATAACAGCACAAAACAACCGTAGCAAACATGTACTTATTCGGGCACAACTTGTCCACTTTTACCATCTCCCTGAACAACCCAATAACTCCAGAGGCTAACCCATGATGCAAATACTTAGCCATCAATCCATCTGTTCATTCTATCAAACAGTTAGCGAGCAATCAAAACTTCACCGCACTTTGAGTACAAATTGATCAAAGAATTTCTCTCGATTACCTGATAACGTGAATCTTATTTGCATGTGGGTTTCGGGTTCTCTCTCGCTTGTACGAATGCACAGAGAACAGACGAGAAGGAAGGAAATTAGCCCATAAATCTAATTTTTCCATTTAAAAAAAATTCGGGCACAACTTGTTCACTTTTTCCATATCCCTGAACAACCCAATAACTTCAGAGGCTAACCCATGATGCAAATGCTCAGCCATCAATCAATTTGTTCATTCTATCAAACAGTTAGCGAGCAATCAAAACTTCACCGCACTTTGAGTACAAATTAATCAAAGAATTTCTCTCGATTACCTGATAGCGTGAATCTTATTTGCATGTGGGTTTCGGGTTCTCTCTCGCTTGTACGAATGCACAGAGAACAGACGAGAAGGAAGGAAATTAGTCAATAAATTTGATTTTTCCATTTAAAAAAATAATAAAATAATAATAAAAGCTGAGGCCCCCTTTTAAATTGGGCCTGAGGCACATGCCTCATTTGTCTCTGCCAAAAACCGCATCTGTATTTGAGCAAGAGTGTGCGTTTGATGAAAACAGCTAAATTCATGTGAAAGAACAAGTAGCTGTTTAATGAAAGAGCTTTGAATTTTTTCAAAACAATCCGTATCAAAAAGTGCCCATAAATATTTTAGGTTGGAAAATAATTTCTTTCAATAAATATTATTGACGCTTCCTTCAACATATGGTTTTGGCAACTTTTTAAGAGAACGAGATTGATCAATTATAATTTTTTTCTTGTTTACGAAAAGATCCGGGCTGCAAATTAGAAACCTTTTATGTACTTTAATTAGGTTTCGAGAATTGGAAAAGATTTTTATCGAATTCCATATAGGGCTTAAAAGTGATTAAAACAATAATTAACATTAAACTGTGCAGAAAAATTCACAGTCGCCTTATAACTTTTTACTAGTCACGCATAATTGATCCATTTCTTCTACAATTTATAAAGTACATCAATCACATTGTACTCCTTTTGCTTAGCAAAGTTTTTTAATCTAAATATTTCACTCTCTATAATTGACGTAGATGTAAAGACAGAAGAGACATAAGACTTTAATTAATATCTATAAACAATAGCACATCATGTTTTTCATATAATAATTTGTATAAATTGTTTAAATCAATGTAACAACTTATCACAAGGATCAAGAAATTGGCTAAAATATTTATAAAGCAGCATATCCGATGTTCCAAATATTTAACATAATAATTAGAAAGATATGGGCGAGACTCCATCAAAATCCTCAATTGACAAGTTGAGTAATAAAATTCCTTGAATTAATTGCCCCATCAACTACCACTGTCTCGTGCACGCTATCCTCCCACCCTATCTTCAGTATTCAATTTTGACATTTATATATTCATGTGCATAAATAAATTAATTTCAGTGTTTAAATTATTATAAAATTACCGTGCATAATTGCTTGCTCGTTTATTTTTAATTGTATATTCCCGTTTTTGGCGCAAGTTTTTTTTTAATTTAAAATAGTTTAAAAAGAATTAAATTTAATCTCATTTTTTGAATCCAATTAAATAGGAAAATTCTGAAATTTTTTAATGGTCTCATTTCGTTTAATTGCTCAAATTACAAATTTAAGGATAAGTCTGAACCATGGGTACTCTAACCTAGAGGTATAAGTATCATAGTGTTACGACTCATTATCTGGGTGAATTCAAGACTAGAACAATTTTTTTTAAAGTCGGATTAATATATACATAAAATAATTATAAAGTAAAAGATTTAATGGGCTGGAGGATGGACTAAATCTGCCATTGGGTGACTATATTATCACTAATATTGTAGTAACACTTATTAATTTTGTTAAAAGTTTCGATCATTGCTTATTGTAACATTTTTAATTGCAAAAGTTCCTTTAGGACAAGATTTCCAAATATTTGAATTTGTACATTAACTACCTACTCTTAACTTTAAAAACACTCTCATGATGATGCCAATGTTTTTAATGGTATCGATAAATTTAATACATGGGCACAATGATACAAAGTTGACAAGGCCAACTAGTATTAGATCTGGACATCGGATAGATCAATTCGAGTATTTCAATACTTGAAATTACCGATTATATTTCGGGTATTCCATAAATGGAACAATTCGGGTCCTTGTAATTATTGGAACCAAACCCAAACCACAACAGTCGGTTTCGGTTCAGATTTGATTCTACCCATATATTTAACAAACATTTTCATATATACCCTTTCGATACGTATACCTAACATGCAATAACTCGACAATATTTTTGCAATTGGAAAAATTCAACTAAAACATCTTCAAGAAGTCTTACAAGTGATTAAAACAATAATAAACATTAATCAATGTAGATAAATTCATATTCGTCCTATAACTTTTTACTTCTTGTCACACAATATACAAGTCATCTGTTTCTCCTGGGCACATAAATCACATTGTTGCTCATTTTGCTTAACCAAGTTTTTTTATTTAAACTTGTCACTTTCTAGCATTGAGACACCAACCACACAAAAGCCTTTAACTTTAATTAATGTTTATAAACAAGTACACATCTTGTTTTCATACAACTTAGTATATAATATAATAATTTGTAAAAATTGTATCAATCAATCTAACAACTGATCTTAATACAGTCATCAGATCCTATCTTCCAAGTATTTAAATTCATAGAAAAACATTATCGGGATTTCGACTTGTCAATTGAGGATTTTCATTGCCCCATCAAAATCCTCAATTGACAAGTTGAGTAATAATATTCCCCAAATTAATTGCCCCATCAACTACCACTGTCTCGTGCACACTAAAAATGATAAAGTAAAAGATTTAATGGGCTAGAGGATGGCCTAACTTAGGGATGACAAAATGGCTAGCCAGTTCAAATTCGGCCCCAGAAAAGCCTGCGCCGGACCGGGTCATGGCTCGACGGGCCGGCCCGTGAGCCTAAAAAAAACTTGTTTGTTACTTCTTTTTAAAATAATTTTTTTTTATTTTTTCTTTTCATTTTAACTGTAATTTATTTATATGTTAATATATAGTTATTATTTATAATACGTATAAATTTCACAAATTTTAAATTCATTAAAAAAAAATTTAGATTTTCACGAATTTAAATATTAAAAAGAAAAAACTGTGCCCGATCGTGCCGGGCTAGCTCGACTCGCTAAGGCCCAAGTCGAAAGCTTGAGTCGAGCCTAAATTTTTCGGCCCAGTTGTTGTTCGGCTCGGCTCGGACAAAAAAAAAATCGAAATATCTCGAGCTGAACCCGAGCAAAACGTTTCAGCTCGCGGCTCGACTCGGTTCGTTGACACCCCTAGCCTAAATGGTAACTATATTGTCACTAGTAGTTTAGTGGCAAAATAGCAATTGGGGTCCCTAAACTTTCAAAATTTAACAGAGATTATCCAAATCTTTTTATTTTGACAATTGAGGTCCACCTTTACTTATTGTTACGGATGGAGGACACGTGGATGGAATTCATCCATTCATCGTTAGTTAACCAAAAGAGCATTTTGACCGCATTTTGATTAAATTTAAAAGGACTAAGTTTATATTTTTCCAATAAAATAATTAAAATTAAAGAAAAACAAAAAAAAATGAAAAAAATAAAACCTCCTTCACCTACTACACCCCACGCAGCCCCCACCCCCCATAACAAATAGGAACCCATCCCTTACAGTAAATCATCGGTCGATCGAAAATCGTCGACACCAGTCACACCATAGCCACCTTAAAACATAAATCACTGGCCGATTTAGCTGTATCAAGAAAATCCCATTTAAATCACAATCTCTCATCCCCATTTCCGATCTGATGATCCCAATATAGGCACGACCCCGACCATGTTAACCCGAGGAGCAATGCTAGCCATCCCACCAATTTTTGCACTCACATCCTCAGGCACTTGAGCTCGGGGCATGTGTATCCTTGAGTGCATAAAGAGAACATCTGTGCCACATTGATCTCGTCGGGATATCTCATCGGGAACAACATTCCCATCAACTGGAACCTCCTCGAGGTCATGTCTTCATCTCGAACCTAGCAAAGTCCAACTTAGCATAACTCTCCTATATGATAAGACTTATCTAATTCGAAGGTGTTTGAGTCCTGTTATAAATATACTCTATCTTCCTAAAAGGATTCTACCACTGAAGTTCCAACTTTACCCAAGTGCATTGAAGGTACAATACCAATCATTATTTAGATACGTTTTTACATAATTTTCAACAACATAATCTTACGAAAAATGTACTACCTACCTCTATAAATACAACACTCCAATTCATTATCTAGGTACATTTTTACATAATTTTGGGCACACATTTTTCACTAATATCAATTGCTATACAAGTTGTACAATTCTTTATTTGTTAAGAAAGTAAAAAAAAATCAGTGTTGAAATCGATTCTATTTAAAATACAAATTTTTTAACTTCTATGATCAACGAGTTATATCCTATCAATTTTATATTGATTTGTACAAATTTTTAACTGTTCATCAAAACAGTGCAAAATTCAGGTTTGTCCAACTGAGTCTTTGACATATATTTGCACCAAGCACAATTTAAAAGAAATTGTTTAGTTCTTACAAGAGATTATGACAAATCTATATATATTTATTTATGATAAAACCACTTAATTTTAGGAGTTTAAATTTTAGGGCGTGTTTGGTAGAGATTAAAATCGGATTAAACTTGAAAAACTAATCGTTATTGTTGACTTTTATTAGACGAGTGAGACCCAATAACTATTATATTTTCAATTTTAATTGGATTTGAAGCCCTACCAAACATGCTCTTAGATAGCAGAAAACGTGTTTATTAGTTTTTGAAACAAATGCACCTTTATTATTATTATTTGCCGAACTATTTCTACAAATAAAAGTAAATGGTGACAAATTCTTATATATTGATTGTTATTTTCATATTAAAAAACATGAAATCCGTATCGTAAACATTATTTTCAATTTTTGAGAAAATATTTATTGACCGTCTAATTTCGAAACAAAATCATTGTATACATGTCATATTACGTCTAGTGAAATAAAAAACAATAATAACAAGTTNTTTGGGCGATGATAATCCTTTGTAGCAGAGTTGACTGCAGAAACAAACTGGCAAAGATTTCTCTTAAGTAGAAGTTTCTGAATTCATGAAGACCACTCCCAAAACTTTGGAAGAAAAAAATATATCCACGACTAATAAGTGCAATTCCCCATCTTATTTCTTTGTTGTTAATCCTCTCACAAATTATAGCCCTTGAGATGTACTACATGCTTTGGGAATGATGAGGCGGAAGATACAAAAAGGGAAGATGACTGCTAGATAGATTGGACATGGCAGCTTCTAAATTCTCATGACATTCATTAATAATGGGCATGTACAACTCGAACAAAGGCTCCAAGAGCTCAGGAGAAGGATCTGTAGTTGGTTTATAGATGCTAAATTTAAGTTCACCCCGTACGCCCGCTGGACATGATACTTCACATCGGTATCTTTGAAACGAAGGTAGCTTTTGCCTTACTTTTAAGCTTGACGATTTCTTGTATATCAGAATACACTCTATTATTAGAGCTTGTCTCAACCATTCTTAAAGAAGGGGAAGAAAGTTAGCAAAAAAAAAAAAAAAATTAACGGGCGGTAAATCTTTTAAATTCGTTTATTATCTAAATCATGAGTCTCCCAAATATGTAAATGGTCTCAAACACAAAGTGCATTGAACGGTCGAAGGAGTTGGTCATTGGTTCCCAATATAAAGTGCCTACGGCAGTCGAAGGAGTCAGTCATTGGTCCCCAACACAAAGTGCCTATTGCGGTCGAAAGAGTCGATCATTGGTCTCAAATACAAAGTGCATGGATGGTCGAAAGAGTCGGTCCTTGATCCCCAACGCAAAGTGTCTACAATGGTTGAAGGTGTCAGTCATTGGTCTCAAACACAGTGCATTGGATGATCGAAGGAGTCGGTCATTGGTCCTAAACACAAAGTGCCTTGGATGGTCAAAGGAATCGGTCCTTGATCCCAAACACAAAGTGCCTCAGATGGAAAAAAGTGGCAGTTATTAGTTTTCAATGTGCATAAAAAAGTTTGCAATTTTGAGTTCGTTCATAAGCAAATATTTTCTGATTCTATAAATAATTGTAGTACAAAATTTTACTCTACACCAAGAAAATCTCGAACCTCAAAATTTTTGACTTGTTCCAAAAGTTGAATCCCTGAAAATAAAAATGAAGAACGTTAGTTCCAATTTTATAATAATCATATTTTAAAAAATGTAAAAAACTAGGGTAGAAACCAATTCTTGGCAGAATGGTTTCTGCCAATTCTTAAACCAAGAAAAAATATTGTTACTATTCACATGAATAGTATATGTCACTATTCACCTGAACAACATACGACACTGTTCATGGTGTTTTTAAAAAAAAAATTGAAAAGAAGAGAAAAGAAACATAATCTTATCTCACATTTTGTTTGCAAATTTAATATATTGGTCTCTAAATATCATGATTCGTTCATATAAATAGGTATGTATCGAGCTTCACTTAAACTCAATTTACCATAAAATATAAAAAATCTGTTTAAAAAAAAAAAATCAAGTAAGCTAGAAAGTGTGTAAAATAAATAAATAATCGAATAACGATTATGTTTAAAAAAATCAAAAATTAAGATTTCATAATAAATAAATAAATCTAGAGGAGGCATTTGTAGGCATAAAAAATAAATAAATAAAATAAAAAATAATGAATTGTGTCAATTTAAATAAATAGCTCAATTAAGTTTACTAAATTAAAGCCTTCTAAGGTCCATAAAATTTTAAAGGCTCATCCAACTATTTCAAAATCCATAATTATTCAATTATAATTATTCTAAGTGAATTAATTGAGAGTTTACCAAAATTGATCACAAATTTCTCCTATAAATAGGACCAAAGGTTCATAATAAAAAGGAGGTGAAAGTGCAAAAAAAAAAAAAAATCACGAAATCCTGAAAAAATGCCGAAAATGAAGGAAGTGAAGAAATCCTCTCAAGTTTAAGTCCAGTGAATACGGAGAAGATCAAAATTTTCTTCAAATCAAGCAAACACAAGAAAATCAAAGTTTTTTTCGAATTAAATCAAGATCAAGCTCAAGTTTCGAAGTGCAAATCCAAACTCCGAAATTCAAGTTTTGAACAAGTCAAATTCTCAACAAATCTCGAAACCTAGGATTCAAGTCACGTAGCTCTCCATCTTCAAACATTGAAATCATTAATCAGTGGATTTTACAATTACAAGAAGATTCATATTCATTTGTATTTCTCAAAAATACAATTGTAACGATTTCTGTATTTTAATAAGTGAAATTCGTCGTACAATATTATGTCCAAAATGCCCTTAGCTTATTTGGGATGAATTATTAAATTTTTAATTTATGGGATCAACTAATTGTTTCCAAGGTCAAACTAACAGTGAGTTGCGATTTTTTTAAAGATTTGGTACTTCCGGTGGCATAAATGAAATATTTGGACAATGTCTGCTACTAAATGAAAGATTTAGTGCCGTGGTGTCAATTTTCCCTAAAAATTATTACTTTCTAACTAATTTACTTTGTTTTTTAGAAATCGTGCTAATAACTTGTTATTAAAAAAGAGGGGGGAGAGAATCAAAATCAAAGTCACATATTTATAGGGAAGTATTATGAATACAATGATAATAATTTTTAGAGTTGTAGGGGTACAATTATCATTCACTAATAAACTTACCATTTACAACATATTTGATATTGTTGTGATATTATGGGAATCAGCTTTTTATGTGTTAGCCATGTTTGAGCCACATTAAATTTTTCATTCACATTTTTTTACTCATTTTTAACTATACATTATTCAATAAAATAATATTTTCCATCACATCAATAACTTTTTTTTCTTTTTCAACAACACATTCTCCATCAATCTACTAATTCAAAATACATTCTTCCAAAATAATGTGTTTCAAACACACCAATAGTTAAGTATTTGTTAAACTTCTGTTCCAGAATTATTGTGTGTCTAAAAATCATTATTTTAGCATTTAGTAAATAAAATTGGTTTCTTTTTTCTTAAACTTACCAAGCAACTAAAACAACTCTTGATTGTCAAACAATCAAACATTGAATTCTAAAATTAATTCCAAATGATTTTATATTTTTTTAATTGAAAACCATGTATATATTTCTACCATGTTTTTTAAAAAATAAATAATTTGAATAACTTGTGTAAAATTATGTGAAATAAAATAACAGTTAGCATTTTTTATTAAAAAATCTACTCAGATAATCTCTTCGAAACTCAAAAGAGTGGGCTATCTCAATCTAAAATTATTGTTGCCTAACTCTATAAATATGTAAATCAAAACAAACACATCTCTTCATTAAATTGCAATCCTTTAGCGACAACAAACGTTATTCATCAAACACGAAAATGTTCTCCTGCCCGCGGCGGGCAAGCTTATCCTACCCACCTGCTGATGTGGCAGGAGAACCCTACGTGGGGTTCTCTCCAAATGTGAGAACCCCACGTTGGGTTCTCTCCGAGTGGGCATTAGAAGCTTGCCCGTCGCGGGTAGGAGAACGGAACTGTATAGTATACATTGCAGATGATTATATTATAAATTAGAGATGATATTATCTACTCGAGCGGGCAGGAGAACGGGACTGTCATCAAACAAGCAAATCATAAGGCACAAAATTAAGACGGTGAAAATTAAAAGAATGAAAAGTTGTTTTGTGAAGTACAGTAATATTGGTCATATTTCCTCGTGGAATAACTTTTTGAAAGTGTCGATATGCTCTGTCTGCAAGCACAACGCAGCAGTAAATGATCCATCTCGTCCTGGTAAGATGAAAGATTTCCCGTCGAAACCCATTGTTGCAGGGCCCATGTGAATTACTTTCCCCAACCCAAAATCAGCATCGTATATAGACATAGCTGTCCAGCTTGTGATTTCCATATTTGGGTTTCCGAAGAAACCCCCCAGTGCACACCCTACTGTGTGAAAATTACGATGTATAGATACATCCGGTAGATTCTTGATCAGTGCAAGATAAGATTTTACATATTCATCTGTTACCTTTTCAACTGCTTCACGTATCTTACTCGAAGCATAAGCCAAGGGGTTTGAGAGCAACTCTCCTGCGGTGGTTATTGCTGCTTGGCGTAGATTGGCATTTCCAAAGTAATCTTGCGGTAATGGTGGCTGCATTCTATTTCTGAAGTCGACAGGTATGTGTAATCTCGTTAGTTGATTGTTTACATGCCCCCGCGCCTTGGAGGCGCACCTCCACATATGCCCAGCCACAGCCTCGTATCTGTAAGAAAATTCACAGGTAGTCAGTTGAGTCAATGGTCAATTTTCTTCACATAAAACAGTAAAATATGAGAAGCAGACTTCAAATCTATTACCTACTATATGGACGAGTAGTGTTTTTGAATGGTGTATCTTCATTTGCCTTGCTTTTCAATTTATCGATTTGTTCTTTGCTTAGCTTCAGCATGGCCACCGTTGTTGGCTTCTTCCGCTCCTCCATATTGTCCGATTGGCCTACCAGGAGTGGCGGCTGTGTCAGCAAGACTGTGTGATCAAATTTCGAACTGGGTGTTGCTTCTGCAAGTTGCAAAACTCTCCTATCCAGAAATGGGACGTTGCCAATCTTCTCACGGCGTGCAAATCTAGCCCACTCCCTAACAAAATGTAGCGCAGTAGGGCCATCTGCTAAAATGTGCGAAATCCCCAAGCCTAGAGAAGTTCCGCCACAGCTGAATTTAGTTAGTTGCACCAAAACCAATGGCTGCTCGTGAATTGGAGTAGCTCTATAATCCACTTTTGGCATAAGCTCTCGCGTTTCTGCGTTTGGAAGAAAATCCTGAAGCTCAAAATCATCAATTTTTGATTCAGACTCAGCTTCGACAAGAATTGCTCCCTTAGAATTGCAGTGAAGTTCAAGGCGGCCACCACCAATCTCGTGGAGGCGCCCTGCCATTGGATGGAAGATTACGAGTACTTTGCTCAAGGAATCTTTTAAAATATGGATTGCATCTGGAAAGGTCGAATCAGTGCAAGGACGAAAGAAGTAGACAGTGGGAGCATGGGTCACGGCCTTAATTTGATCAAGTTCTGTTAAATACATGATCTCATTTGGCGTTGGCCCGGCTGGTAGTATTGTATGAGTTGCCTTCACGGTCACCATTCTCCACAGATAGGAGAGGAAGAAAAGAAAAATTGCAGGAAAAGTGATCCCCGTGAAGGTTTCTTCAGAGAGGCAATTACTATGGACAATTGAGAAGACTTATGAGTACCTTAAATAGATCAGACTATCTTACATCTGGATAAAATTACAAACTCGTTCAATTTAGACGATTTATTTATAAACCACATTATTGCTCATTTTGCTTGCCAAGTTTTTAATTTAAATATTTCACTTCTCAGCATTGACATAAATACATGCGCGAAGGTCTACAACTTTAATTAGTATCTATAAATAAGGACAGATCATGTGTCCATATCATGTAACCACTAACTAATGCCTTGTCATTTTTCCTTCTTTTTAGTTTTCTGGGTATGGTCTATGCATGGAGTTTCCGTGGATATATATAGTCTGTCGAAAATAGAAATAGAAATAAATTATTATATGCATAGATCAACAATGCTACACAAACGGGCTAAAAAATAGGGGAAACACGACAGTTTGAAAAATAATCCAAACAGGCGCAACCAAGTCAATCTGTTTTTTCCGGTCTTTGAACCAGTTGATTTTCACAAAGAACCAGTGAACAGGTTAAACTATTTTCCAAAGCTTATACAAACCAAGTTAAACCGCCTGAATCACATTGTTAATCATTTAGCTAACCAAGTTTTTAATGAAAATATTTCACTTTCTAAATTATTAACAACTTTAATTACATTGTTAATCATGCAACTTTAATTAATGTCTAAAAAGGGGACACGTCATGCGTTCGTACAACTTAATATATAGTATAACAATTGATCACCAGGATCAAGAAATTGACAGAAAATAATAATACATTATTCCGGCTAATTTTTTCTGGTATTTTTTGCACCTTTAGCGACCAAAGCACATGATCGCAGAGTAGGGTAAGATGCAAGCACAAAAGTGCGGTCGTTGATCATATGTCTCAACAACCAACATAATTTGGTCATTGAAACACATGGTACCACCCACTTAGGGGTTGTTGTCTTTATATTTCAATTTTGTGTTTTGAATTTTAAATTCATTTTAGGTTTTGAATTTTGAGTGTCTATTTTGAGTTTGTTGAAAATGTATTTTTTTTGGTATTTTGAAAAATTGTTTTGAAAATACCCAATACGCGTTATGAAAATTTTTCGTTTTGGGTTTTCCTTATAAATTTTAACTTGTTTTCAAAAAATGGATTTTTGAAAATAGAAAAATAAAAACGCTTTTTCACTGTTTTGAAAAATTGAAAATAGAAAACGATTTGAAAATGGTAAAGAGAACGGGCTCTTAGTTTTTCGCATATTTTTGGCACTATTAACAACCAAAGTGCATGATTGCTGAATAGAATAAGGCTCATGGGCATTGATTGTATGTTTAGGCAAGTCGTTGGAACACTTGGCACCATTATTTCAGCTTATTTGTTCATGTATTTTTTGTACTTTCAGTGACCAAATTGCATGGTCGCTTAATAGGATATGGTTCTAGTGACAATTATGTGGTCGCTGGTTGTATGTTTTAGCAACCAACCTTTTTTGGTCATTGAAAGTACATGACGCAATAATTCTTTCTTATTTCTTTCCATATTTTTGGTACTTTTAGCGACCAAAGTACATGGTCGCTGATAGTTGTAATTTCTAAACCTATTTAGGTCATCAAAAGTGATTAAATAGGCGTTTATTTGAATTGATTACTATTTAATTTTTTTTTAAAATATTGATTATTGTAGAAAAACCGAAATTTAGATGGACTTCGTGTGAAATAGGTGAAACTAGAGCTTAAAAGGAGGATTTTCAAAGTTTGGGGACAAAAGTATAAATATTCAAAAATTGATTCAGACTATATATCGTGGTTGAAAAGTGTGGGAAGTCAATTAGATTAGAATAAGAGACAAATGACAGAAACTGCGCAAAAAAAAAATGACCAACTCATGTCCCGGACAGATGTTAGTGTTGGTAGCATAGAGGTGAGCCATGCTTACACATCATGTAATTGGGGTTGCGCACACAACCCCAAAACCTGCAGAAACTGAAGAGGAAGGTGCAATCGGAGACAATTTACTTTTCCAATCACAACACCTTTTGGTAACAATTTTGGACGTGTTTCTTGACCTAATTTCGATTCTTACAAATACAGAATGTGGGCATAATCTCTTTCAAACCTCTCATATCATAGAATTCGTCAAATCTAGCAGTCGAAGTGAGATAATTCATCATTCTTTTAAGAAAATCAATAGGCAATATACAAGAATCCAATCTAATCAAGATCCATCCTCAATTTTTAGGCAAAGCAGGGCAAGGTGCTACTGGAGACAATCAAGAAACCATTAAATAGATTCAATACTTCAAGATTTCTCTTATTTTTCTTATGAAAAATCGGGCATGTTCTATAAAACAATGATGATTTCTTATAATTTTGCAATGATGTGCTAGATTTTCATTTACTAAGATATAGATGAACCCTTATTATGAATTTTTCATATAATTTTATTATGTTGATACTCAATATGTGTTTATTCTTGGATGAATGTGATAGGATTTAATTCTTTTCAATCGCTTATTCACTAATTGGATTGATGTGTGAATTTTATTATCATTGAGAGAGACAATAAGATAAATAACATATTATAACAGTTATTGTGAGATCCAATAGAGTATAGAGATATATCCATATGCCTTGCATGATTTCAAATAGATGTTCTCGAGTTTTAACGCATGCTCTCTTGTTCATATCTTTCATAGAGATATATGAGTGTTACATGAGATGATTGATTTATATCTACTCGAGAAAGATTATTGAATAATTTAGACACATTAATCAACAAGAATGAATACATATTGTCACGATATTGAATTGCATTAAATTGGATTAATAAGGGGGAAGTCTTAGTAAGCACTCAACGTAATTTTACAAAAAGCTTTCATTATTTGCTTATTAGCATATTTAGTTTAAACAGTTAATTAGTATAAACTCTTCATACAAATTTGACTATTTGATTAGAGTTAGCACTTAATTGATTCTAAATTAAATACATAGCTTTCGTGGAACGATACTCTATTCATTATTTTATTACTTATCTACGATATCTTGTACTTGCAAGATTTCATACTATCAAGTTTTTAATGTCATTATCAAAAACAATAATATTTAATTAGCTTTAGTTAGTTATAACTTTAATTTTTATTTTTATTGCTGTCTTAGTTTTAAACTTCATATTTTCCTTTCCTTTTTTGGGGGATCTTGTATGTAAAATTCGAAACGAGGTGATTTTCCTCCATTTGATCCAAAAATTAAACAAACATTCAAGTTAAGAAGAAAGAATAGATAGAAACACGTTGAAAACAAGTTGAATCAATAGCAGAAAACGTACAAAAAGTGGCCATTGGTGTGAATGATTATGCAACATGTCCGATTATAACTATGGGTAATGAAAATTTAAGTCAGAAGTTCTTGAATAAATTATTCCACAAAAAATGATTGCCAAGTTAAGGAATGAAATCACTACATTCTCGAAACTCGATTCGAAATGCTGTTATGAAGCATGGGAAAGAAACGAAGGATTGTTCTAACAATGTCCACATCAAGGTTTGTAGATATGGTTACAAGTTCAATACTTCTACATTAGGCAAAACCCGATTAGTAGGGCTAATCTTGACTTTGCCTGTGACGGGTCTATTACCAAAAGTAAATTAGATCAAGTATATACAATAATGGAAGATTTAACATATACTAGTCATTATGGTTGACTAAAAAAGTAGGTGAAAACACAGCTACAGGGATGCACGAGGTCGACAACCTAATAGCAATTTCAGCACAATTAGCAGCACTAGCTCAAAAGGTTGACAGTATGTCAAATAATCAAACAGTAAATGCAATTCAAGCAGTTAAACCAAAATTCAATCACTGTGAAGGTGATCATGAAAGCATGGATTGTATTGTGGGACGTCTGTTTGCTAAATCGGTTGATGACGTGAATTATGTGCAAAAGTATTAGAGGTAGCAGAATAATCCTCATGGAGAAATCATCTAAATTTCTCCTCAAGTAATATATTGTCATCTCAAGGCACACCATATTAGAATGCGTCTCCAGGTTTCATATTTCGGTTGAAGAATGAGCTAAAGAGTGATCAAAGTTGGCAATTGGAAGTTTGAAACAGCAATTGGGTGCTTGGGCGTCCAAACGGAGCGCCTAGGTGCCAAGAAATGAATTTTGGGACCGAAACTCAACGCTTGAGCGCTCTGGCAGTGTCGGGCTACCGCTCGCTTGATGCTAGACTACATCTAGAGAGTTGCACGCTGCTCTCCTGGCTCGAGGCGCCGCTCAAACGACAAGCTTTATTTGGAAAAGTTTTATTTCCATTTTTCTTGCTCGTTTTTTATCTTATTTTCATCTAAATATATTCCTTTGGGTCATGTATATACTTCACAAATTGTTATAAATGGAAATATTTCTATTAATACTTGCTAAAAATTGCTTTAGTTAGAAATTAAATTTTTTATAAAAGTCGATAACATATACTATTAAAAAACTGATAAAAATGATGGGTCCTATAAAATGTGTTGTTAAAATTAATTGACTTTGATTTATAGTTTTATATTAAAAAAATTAACTAAGCCAAACATGGAATTAATATTTTAGATGTTGCTTATGACTAAAGCAGGCAAATTAACTTCAATAAATTATATTAAGTTTCATGTTAATTTATCTAAGAGTATATTATAGATAGAATTGATCTCCTACCCAATGTAGGCAGGGTGTTGCCATATCGATGGATGTAAAATAAATTTAAAAACCAACCGCTGGTGTGCCAATACAATAAGTTGCCATATCGACAAGTGGATAACATAATTAATGCTCACTGTAGGCAAGAGATCAGTTCTAATATTATATATATTACATCTTTTTAAACAACATAATAACAAATTGGTTGAAAAGGTGATAAATTGGGATTCCAAACTTGAAAGAAGTGAAGTTAGTTGTAATCTTTTACATGTGGGGTGGTATATGTGTTGTAAGAAACTTGGAAGATCTCTATGTGATTTTCTCTTTTTTATTTATATTTTATACTTCACAAAGTTGTACCGAATAGTTCCCGGAATAAATTAAATTATTTATTTTTATCTTCGATTAATAGAATGGCAACGATAATGTTTATTAATTGCACATCATTCTAATTGTTAGCTTGTTTGAGTCATTTTTTTGTCCAAAATGCGTTTTGGAATAATATTTTGCAGAGAATATGTGGTTTAAAAATAAGGAAATTTTTTAAATTTGAATGTAATATTATTTTATTGAAAAATGTGTGGTTGAACATAAGAAAGAAAAAAATATATTTTAGAAATAATGAGGACCAATAAAGGGCAAAATATTTAAAATCTTAAATTTTTCCTTACTGTAACACTTACGATCTCAACTTTTTTATCATATTTTTATCTCGAGCCATTTTCGATTAATGCTATTCATCCCCATTGGGGATGAAAACACAGTCTACGTGGTGTCAATGTGGCATTAAATGATAGGTGAAATTAAATAAGTTATTCAATTTCACATTTCATTTAACTTATCATTTAAAATCACATAGACTGTGTATTCATCCCCACTGAAAATGAATAATATTACTCATTTCATATATACTGCCGACAAGATTTGAATAAATTCACGTGGGAAACCATTAATCAAATTTAGCAAAAGGCCTATGAGTATTTTCATGCCGACTTTTTTAAAATAAGATAGCAGCCAAAGTCTCCAAACTTTCATGCAAGGAGCATAGAAGTCCTCAACTTATTAAAAGAAACATTCCCGTCCTCAACATTTAAATTATTTTAGCAGTCTCCAAAGAACCATTAAAATAAAATGTGTAATGCAAATGAAGCATATTGTCAAGGGAAAACAAGTAGGATAAATTTCAGTTATATCTATTCAGTTGTCGTGGTTTGATTTATTGATACTTAACTTTAACAGTTTATATTTTATTTAAAATATTGTACATGACTTGGATAGTAAATGAATCATAACATGTAAAAAATGCAAAACATATATATTCATTTATTTTTTGACAAAGTCGAATGCATGCGAATTAATCATTTCTCCTAAGTTGAAATTATGACAAAGAATACTAATAATAACTCAAAACAATTGTAACAATTCTATTGTTTTTGTGTTATACCCTTGTTTTAAAAACTTTAGTATTAATCACGTCTCCACTAAATTTCATTCCTGGCTTTAATCAAGAATATACATACATACATACATACATACTAGGTGCAAGCAACGTGCAATGCACGTTTGCCTAGTTTATATTTAATATTTTTGTTTAAGAATTAATTTGTTATTAATAAAGATGTAATTTTTTTGGTTAATTAAATAATTAATGCTGTAATGTTTATGTAATTGATAAATAATTAGATGTGTGATTTTGATGTTGT